AACGCATTGATAGCATGATATCGACGGCAACCGATGATAAAGTGGCCGAAAAACTGTGGGAATTAAGCTGTGATTTAGTTGGTCTCGAAGATCACCTCAGAATACCCGCCGTCAGGACGTAGGCCTGAATGGGAACAGTAGTCAAAATAATATTTTATTTTAAATACAAAACACTAAAACTAATTTAATATTATAAATTTATTTTGCATACTTAAATAGTGTATAAATCGCAATATTATTTCAAATATAATAAATTTAAGTTAAAATAAATATTTATTCTCTAACTCTTAAACATTATAATTGTTTTAAAATTATTAAACATTTTATATTAATATTTAAAATTAAAAACCAGATGATACAGGTATGTTGTGATATGTTATGATAGAATTTTAATAAAATAAAATAATTCTAAAATAATGTACTGTATAGTATACAGTGTATACTAGTATAGTTAATAGTACTGTATAACTACTGTATTAATGCGAAATGTTTACTTAATGAGCAAAAGTTGTCATCATACATTTAAATTTGTAATTTAGAATTAATATTGTGAAATAATAGTAATACAGAATTTTAAACAAGGTCACTTAATATGAATTTGACATATGATTTTATGTGCTATTAAAATCACTGTGATTTTAATAAAATAAAACTTTGATGAGCTTTTATTTTAATACTATTGTGGCATATTAACAGTAAATATAATTGAAGGTATGCTTTTTTATTATGGAAGCTTATTATATTGTGGTAAATTATAGGAATACCTGTGCGATAAACAATACAATAACCTTGTCAAATTGTCAATACAATATACAATAAGTGATTTTTATATTACTATTATGATGATAACGTTTAAGTATTGTAATTAATGTTAATCTACTAAGGTAATTGTGTACAAAAATATGAATAAAACTTTTATTCTCTATTTTCAATGACTACTTATTATAATTATGATTAATTGTCAATTTATAAGCTAAGTATTATCGTTAACTAAGTTTCCGATTATATCATAATAATTATATAAAATATTATTATATAGAAGTACTATTTTAATTATATAAAATATTTATTTAAATAACAAAGTAATAAAACGAGAATATATTAATTACAACTTATGTATGAATAAACAATTAAATGAATTGAATTAATAAATATTTATTTATAAAGCTTAAACAAATGAATAAGATTTAGAGCATTATTTTAAGAAAAACTTTTTATATGAATTAAATTAATATACTAAACTAATAAAAGTTTGTAATAACAATCAATATATTGAAAATCTATAAATTATAAACTTTTAAGTTTATGCCTCAAAATAATTGGTATCCAAGGATACTATTCGAAGTTATTTATAATAACAAGAATTTTAAAATTATCGAGAAATAGTAAAATACTTATTTTAAATAACATCCTAATCATAACATATGTATCTATTATATTAGGTGTAAATGATATTGAATATTCCTGAAAATATTACAAAAATGTTTATTAATGTTTATAATAATATTTATTATTTTACTTATTATATAAAATAATATACACATTAATAAATAAATATTTAGTTAACATAGGTTATCAGTTTAGTTTGTATAATTAGTATCGATATATAGATGTAATCGATAGAATATATGCAAACATACAGGCGCTGCTCAAGTAGTTTACTCAATATTCAGACATTCATTGGCCTTCGACAGCTCGAGAGCACCTGTACTCTTAAATTATGAAAATAAAACTTATTTATTAGAAACAAAATCACACGACATTCACTCATCAAATGACGTTCAGATTTATTTCAAACTATTTTTCGTAAATAATATTTAAATTCATTTTCAATACATTTTGCTTAAAATATTAGCGAAAAAGCATCACTTCATAATGGGTGTCATGAAACTAGCAGGGTACTCGATAGCCGAGTTTAGCCGCATTGTATTTAACAAACAGAATAAATGCAATAGTGATAGACGTCTGGAGGGGAAGGTAGTGGTGATTACCGGTGCCAACGCCGGCATCGGTAAGGAGACCGCATATCAACTGGCATTACGCGGCGCTAAAGTAATTGCAAAAACTTTTTTAGATTTTTATAATTGTTGTCACTTATTGTGTTTTACTATTTGAGGTGTTTATGAGTTGCCGGAGTATAGAGAAGGGCGAGGAGGCGGTCAGCGATGTGAAGCTACAGGCGGAGAGCGCCGACATAAGCCTACTTCGGCTGGATTTGGCGTCAATGAAGTCCGTGCGACAGTTCGCACAGACAGTGGCCCAACAGACACACAGAATCGATATACTGGTCAACAATGCAGGGGTTATGGCCTGTCCGGAGTGGAAGACCACCGACGGCTTTGAGATGCAGTTCGGCACCAATCACCTCGGTATTTATTTTTCCATTTTATTAAACATGATTCTTGAACTAGCTTTTATTAATTTGGTTATTTAATGAATATCAATCGGCTGTATATTTATTATTGTCACACAAATTCATAATTTACAAAATTTCAGACATTTTATATAAAATCAATTTCTTAATTTATAAAACATAAACTTTTAGTTAAGTTTTTGAAATACATGTATAAAAACTGTATACAGTATGTTATATGCGTTTAGTATAATAATGTTAACTGTGACCACAATTATAGGTCATTTCCTGTTGACAATGCATTTGTTACCACTGCTGAAGAAGTCACCGAATGCTAGGATAATAACGGTGTCATCGAGTGGTCATCTGATGGGGAAAATGAATTTCGATAACATTAATCTCAATAACGGCGCCTACAGTCCATTCAAAGCCTACGCTCAGAGCAAACTGGCGAACATACTGTTCACTCGGGAATTGGCCAAACGGTTGGGCACTAAGAGCAATGTCCGCACCTATAGCCTACATCCCGGGCCTGTGTATACGGAGCTACAGAGACACTCCGGGTTGGGGTCTATGGGACACAAAATGGCGAAGAAGTTCTTTCTGACGCCAGAAATGGGCGCTCAGACCACCCTTTACTGTGCACTGGAGGACAGTCTGGATAAGGAAACGGGATGTTATTATGCGTTAGTTTTAACAAATTTGTAAATCTAAATTTTTATTTAAATATTTTATTTGATTATATTTTGTAAGTATTTTAAAGATTGTTTGTAAATATCAATCTAATCGTTAGTTTAAATGATTTGAAAACAATTTATTTTTAATTTTAAATACTTTTTAAATGCTTTGTAAACACCTATTGACAGGAATTGTCACAGAGTTGATAACATGATATCTTCGGCAACCGATGATAAAAGTGCTGAAAGACTGTGGGATTTGAGTTGTGATTTGGTTGATCTCGAGGATCACCTCAGACTACCCGCTATTAAAACCACGGCCTGGCAGGACAACAACAATAATAATAATAACTAACTGTCCATATGAATATTAATTATCATGTTTATTAATGGGTTCTTTACAGTACATGTGCTAACTTATTTACATCAGTTTTTAATTCTTATTATACTGTATATTATACAGCACTTTGGTGTTAATAATGTTAACACAAAATTTGTTAAATTATTTAACATAGCTTAGTATAAATTACTATGAATTCAAAATAATAAATTATACTAATTATAGTATTATGCTCGCCTAAGCAATTTGTAATTATTAAATATAATTAATACTAATTAAAATGCGTTTAAAACAAAAGTTTTTTTGATAAATAATATATTATACCATAATTTGCTTTTTGAATTACTATTATAAAATGTTATGTATCACTTTAATCTCCATATTAAAAAAATTCTCATAAATTTTGCAATAAACCACAATAGTTTAATAAATAAAATTAAAAAATATTTTAGGATTATCGCTTGTGTTATTGTGTTATGTATAATACCAGTATTTTTTATATAGTCTATGTTAAGTTTAAAGTTGCATTTAATTAAACTTTCTAAGTATTTTATTATTGACTAATTGATTAATGTTATTAATACAGTGACAAGTTTTCTATTGTAAAATTATAATAATCAAATTTAAAATAATTGTAGAAAGTTAATTAAAGTTAATACTGAGAATACAATAAATATATTATTTAGTGAAATACACCATAAATAAAATATAAGAAAATGAATATTATTTAGTATTAATATAATATACTGTTTTAATTATTATTTTTTGCGTTATATTGAGTATTTAAAAATAATATATTAAAGTTAAACGCACTCATTATATGAAATCAATAAAATATTTCTATGAAAATAACAATAAATTCAGTGAACAATGAAATAAAATAGACTAAAGCTATCATTAGAGATACTCGTACCGACAAGGTACTAATATTTATGTTTTATTTATAACTACAGTTAATATTTCTAGACTATGAAACCGGGGATTATTACCATCCAATAGACTATTGGCATAATTATAAATAACACTAAAAATTTTATTATTTTCTCATTTTTGTTACCAAACACTGAATTGAAAATAAGATTTCAGGTTTTAATACCAATCAATATACCGTATTATACCGTATCATGAGTCATGATTGTCTCATAACATTTTATGAATTCCATGCGCACCTACCTACCGTAATACTATAGTACTCCTGGACTTGCATAACATTCAAACACTGGCTTTATTACTGTTTTTGGTATAAATATTCCTGTTTTCCATTCACTTTCATACAATTCATTCGCAACTTTTATTTGGCATTTAGTTTTCATTTGATTGTATATTAAACATAATTACAAACTATATTTTGTGTACAAATAATTTCTACATAAAAGTGATATCCAGTTAGTATTAATAGCAATGAGTTACATAAAAGCGGCTAACTTTTCGACCAAGGAGTTTTACGAGATTAAGACAGGTCAACGTCGCAAAGTGGACAGTGATCGCCGACTCGACGGACAGGTGGTTATCATCACCGGCGCTAATACTGGCATCGGAAAAGTGACGGCACAGGAGTTGGCATCCCGGGGCGCCAAGGTATGCCTTTCCATGCAATTATTAGTATACTATTTTAGGTACTAAAACATTTTTTGTGAAACTTGTGATTACAGATAATCATCGCGTGTCGGAGTGTAGATAAGGGACAGTTGGCTGTCGATGAGATTAAAGGCGTGACCCCGGAGGCAGAGGTGTCTGTCATGAAACTGGACTTGTCTTCACTGAAATCCGTGCGCCAGTTCGCCAGTGATGTGAGGGAAAGGGAGACCGTTGTAGATATGCTCATCAATAACGCCGGAGTTATGATGACTCCCGAGTGGAAGACTGAGGACGGCTTTGAGATGCAGTTCGGGACCAATCATCTGGGTATGTGTCACACGTTTATATACTTTCTTATAAATATAAATATTTGACACATATTTTAATTGTGATTTAATTAACAAATCTGCAAAACATATAAGCTTACTGTAATTTTCTTAAACCTGATGATAAAATAACCTTAATAAATTTATAATAATATACCTCACTCTATAAAATAAGTATTAACTTTATAATAGTTATCCAGACATGTGACAAAATTTTTAAATACTAATTAACAACACTAGAGAATATCTTATTAAAATTTTTGCAATTAATTAAAGTAACATGATCATAATTTTTAGGTCACTTTCTACTGACACTGCATTTGTTACCATTGCTGAAGAGGTCAGCCAACGCCCGGGTGATAACGGTGTCATCGAGTGGTCACTTAGTGGGCAAAATAAACTTCGATAACATAAACCTCCTGAACGGGGTGTACGCGCCCACCAAAGCCTACGCTCAGAGCAAACTCGCAAATGTGTTGTTCAGCCGCGAGTTGGCCCGACGTTTAGGCGGCGCCGATAGCAACGTCAAGACCTATTGCCTACATCCCGGGCCCGTCAACACCGAACTCCAGCGGCACGTGTATAACGCCGAGGGGTCGACCTCGTCGGCCGGTAAGGCTATCATGAAGTGCGTGGGACTCACACCGGAAATGGGCGCTCAGACCACCCTCTACTGCGCCCTTGAGCCCAGTCTCGACACTGAGTCCGGTGCCTATTATGCGTGAGTTTATTGCTTGCTAATTGATTTTAATTATCATGTTAATTTATTTATTAATTCATTAATTGGATTATTTTAGTCGTTAATGTTTTATGTATAATGTGTTTGTGTTTATGTATTGCAGTAATTGTCGCAAAATAAATAAAATGATTTCTACGGCAACCGATGATAAGGTGGCGGAAAGGCTCTGGGAGTATAGCTGCGTGTTAGTGGACTTGGAGGCCGAGTATCGCATCTAATAATTTATAAAAATTTTATATATTTAAATTTAATTTGCAAATTTTGTTTTATTTTTCTTTACCGTTATTTACTTATATTATGACATATTATGATTTGTAAATATTGCGATCAATTTTTTAACATTAAAAATGATTTTTAAAAATTTTATTTTTATAAATTATTATCATATGTAAATCTTGTTTTGTTACTTAAAACTTATGAGCAATGAACCAAAATAAAATAAATAAAAGTTACCTAAATTTAGTTGATGTCCATTTACCTAATATTCTTTATCCATAACATTATAACATACTATTCCTAAAATATATATTAAAATTAATAAGCTATATTTGTGCAGTAACATTTATTTATTTTAATAAAATTAAATATCTCCTTGGTTATACAGTATTCATATTTAATTTGCTAAATATTTAGATCGCTTAACCAATAAGTATTAACAATTACTAAATGTGATATCATCGATGTCTACATCAGCATAAGGAGGGTCATTCTGATAGGTCACCCCATAACCACTCAATTGAACTTTTGAACCTTCAACCAACTGTCCAACATTTGCCGTTAGAGTAGTCCATTCCTTATGGAGTTGGTGTTCAACCAGCACATCCCGGCCCCCGTTATCAGGCAATTGTACAATGACTTTGAAAGTTGCGATATAACTGGTCGGTACGTAACTCCTGTACCGCAGACTTAGTGCACAGTTTGGTTTAGTGGCCACTAATGGACTCGTTGTGAGCACTGCCGCTATGTTTGAGTCCTCTATCGCAACATATTTTTATTTAAATATATTTTTGAATGTAATAATTACTACATAAAATTATAAGTATATTATTAGCCACAGGATTCACTACACGTTTTACTGTTTATAATTATTTAATAATTATCTCACAATTATTCATGAAAACTTACTCATATGGGTGTCAATGATAGCAAATTTGCCAGAAGTACGTCCTGACCCGTCAACTGATGGCAATACCCCTCCCATAGGTTTTCTGACCACCCATTCATAATCACCGGCACTGATGTCTGTCCACTGACACAGGTCTCCGGAATCAAAGTTACAGTCGTATCGAGTAATGGGAATTAAATTCTCAGAGTTATAAACCCCGAGAATTAATGAACTTATGTATACTAAAAGGGCTTTCATTGCTAAATATAATTAATTAATTAAAAATATGTATGATTTATACCATTTATTATTTAGAGAGAGCTTACCGTATGACTTCTAACTAGAAAACTAGAAATAAAATAAAATAACTGTAAAAATTTGGTTCATTTATAGACGAGATTTTAATGCAAATTGTTGAATTCAAGTGCTATAATTCTCATGGATTATTTTTAATAACTAGAATAATTGATAAAAGATAACCATGTTAAGTGCCTCAGTTCATAAATGTTTAAAGGTTAGTTATTAAATTGCAGCGAATCAATGAATAATTGCAATTTTGTTACTAGTGGACTACTTTTTATGAATTATCTTAAAACTATGCACATAAAAAATGATAACAAAAATATATATATTTAAATTACAAATTGAAAATTGTAAATCAATAACCGGTATCTATAAATGTTTTTAAAAATAATTTAAACAAGTTTAATTAAATATAATTAAATATTTAAGAATTAATTTTTTATGCTTTAGCTTCAATTTATTTTAGCATTAAAAATATTTATTAATATCTTAATAATTTATTTGTAAATTAATAATATCAGTAATAAAATAAAAATTATACCGTAAATAAGCTTTATTTAATTATAAATAAAATATTAAAAGCATTAAAAGTAGCTTTACAAGTATTAATTTAAATACAAATTATAATTTCCAAAATTTATTAGTCTCTATAGCAGGTAAAAATAAAAAATAATTTAAAAACAAAAATATAATTCATAATTATTTAATTGGCAAATCTGAATAGTCTACAGTATACATTTAGATGAAAATAACTTTAATACTGTTTACCGTTTATTAACGAATTTAAATCATTTAATAGTACATTGAGTGTAAACACAGTGCACATCTATTATCGCGCAATCTCTACAAATAGTCCTGATTATTTAAACAGGTATTTTCTATACACTTTCAAACACTATAAATTTAGTAAGATTTATCAAATTCCTATTCATTAAATTGACTTTATAAAAATAACTTGATATTTGTGTAAAATACCCTTTTGTACTAATAATGTGTGAATCGATAAAATACGGGCGGAAACTGACGACAATATTTGTCGAGGAGATGGGATCAAATATTCTGCATATGAGACGTAAGTGTAAAAGT